ACTGAAGCCGTATTACCGCTTCCGGCCAAGGAAGAAGCGGGGCTTTAAAGGGGAAAGCAAGGTTTGCAATCGGCCCTCCGATTTAAAAAACAAAACTTTAAAGGGGAGTTGCAGAGAGAGAGAAAAAAAGAAAAGATACGGGGTGAGTACAGTACACAGTATCTCTTTTTGTCTTGCCTCTCTCTGCAGGCGAAGGCTGGTGCTGCTGAGTCGATCATAGCATAGGTTTCCCGTGTTTCTGCCAAAAGAGATAAACCATCAGGGTTATTTAAAATCCACAGGTCCTTTCCCACTTCTTCAAGAGTTCGCATCCCCATGAGGGGAAGTGGGGAATTGCTTGCCTTTACAAACGGAATAGAAATAAAGAAAGGTCGCCAAAGGACGCGTACAAATCTGACCTCAGAAATAGCGCGATTTTAAAAAAAACAGCGGGGAACCGTTTCACCCTTTCAGGGCGTTATGTCGCTGACATTAAAGTAGTTATTATAAAACAAGAAAAATTAGATGCTCTGCTCTTCTTCCAGAGATTCTTCTGCGCAGAAGGTTCTGATCACTATTTATTATTACTATTTATTTATAATATTTTCATCCCACCTTTCTTTTAAAAAAGAACCCAAGGCGGCTTACATCGTTAAAAAGACAATATGTAGAAGCTAAAAACGATAGGTATACAAATGTTTAAAAAGATACGTGCGTTAATGGAATTTTCTAGCGGGGGGAGCCATTACAAAATACAAATGGTGGAATTTTCTAGCACCAGGATCATTGTAATAAAAGCGGGGGGAGCCATTACAAAATACAAATGCAAGAATAGCCGGTATCTTAATTGTGTTCTAAGCAACATTTTTGTCAATGGCCAGCGTTAATAATGTAAGTTTAATGACAAACTTCTTACACATAATTTCCCTCTGACATTACTGTCTGCAGTCCCATCCCTGCCCCTGACTATTGTCCATATGCACTTGATATGGCTGAATTCCTGTTCCTTATTATAGTGTTATACTGTATATTAAAGTAGAGCCATTGAACCAGTGGGGATTTGGAGAGTCAATTCCTTGAATCTGTTGATTCAAATGGGCCTACTCTAGCTGTGACTAACTTTAGTGTAGTAAGTCACAAGTAGAGGAGACTTACTTGAATCTATAGAGCTAAAGGAGGAGTTGGCTTCAGTGGGCTATCGATAAAATTGCATACATCTGACGTGAGCTGTAGTCTTTTTTATTTGTATCAGAGCGTTGCAAAATTCAAAATTATGGACATATATGAATATAGGTAAAATTAAAAACAAGTAAAAAATATGAAAATAATTAGACAATTTTTGACCAGGAGCAGGCTACTTCAATAGTGTTCGCTATTTCTGACATCTTTTAATACATGAGGTGCGACATAACTGTGGCATTGATTGAATCTCTCCACAGTCACAGAAAGTTTATCCTGTATCCAGGTAGCCCCATTTTACTTCATTATTCTTTGACCTTCCTAATTCATTTTGAAGTCTATTACATGACTTCCAGCTGGTCCAACCCAAGTCTTGTCCTGGTAGGAGACACTCCAGCATTCGTCCATTCAGCAAGCTGTGAAAGTCTATGAAAGCCTATACTATAATAAATGTGTTGGTTTTAAGGTGCTGGAGGACTCTTGGTTGCATTTGCTGCAGCAGATCCACATAATACTCCCCTGACAGTTTTTAAAAATTATTCTTATATGATGCCACTGAAGATCAGTATATGTTGCCATTTTGAAGAAAGTATTTGGAGCTGTGATTAATATAGAGTTGTTTCTTGTGGAATTTTAAGAGGCATCTGAGTTTGCTTCTAGTCTAGCACAAGTAAATCTGTCCATGAAACACCAGCTAAGCACACCATACCTTCATTTTATTTCAAAGCACCAACCATAAGCTTACAAATATAATTTTATTACCTTACTCTGAAAGCAATTTCTCCATTACAAAACAGTATGTGAATTAATAACAGAGAATGGAAGCTATGTACTTACATGTTATGCTGACAGTGCCATATAAACAGTAATTCATTTGTGGAGTTTGTTGTATTGCTTTGTGTATATTAAAAGCCATTTGCTTTTATTGCTTTGTGTACATTAAAAGCTTTATTCTTAGCTTATGCATCACACAATGAATCTATTTCTACTTTCTTCCATTTTCTTTCCATTCTTTATGTATTTGTTTAAATAAGTAGCATAAGGTTTTGGAAGGTGCATTTAGTGCAGCTGCAAGACAGTTTTAAAGCCAGACTATATTCAGATGAAGGAGTGAAAATTGGTGGAAGAAATATCAATAATTTTAGATATGCAGATGACACTATCTTATTGGCGGAAAACAGCAATGACTTGAAACAACGTTTAGAGAAATTTCCAAAGCAGGACTGCAGTTGAATGTTAAGACAAAAATCAGGACTACAAAAGAACCACACAACTTTAGCATTGACAATGAAGAAATTGAAATAGTTGGAAATTTTATATACCTTGGTTCAATGATTAGTCCAAATGGAGACTGAAGCTGAGACATCAGAAGAAGATTGAGACTAGGAAAGGCAGCAATGAATGAATTAAATAAGATACTCAAGTATAAGGATGTGTTACTGGAGACCAAGATCAATATCATCCACATTCTTGCATTTCCAATCACCATGTATAGGTGTGAAAGACGGACAGTTAAGAAAGCTGGTGGGGAAGAAATTGATTTGTTTGAAATGTGATCCTGGAAGAGGGTTTTGCAGATACTTTGGATTGCCAGAAAGATAAACAAGAAGGCCCTTAGACTAAATCTATCTCTGGAGGCAAAAATGACAAAACTGAGATTGTTACCCTTTGGGCACATCATGAGAAGGCAGGATTCTCTGGAAACGACAATGATGTTGGGAAAAGGGGGAGGCAGTAAGAAAAGAGAAAGCCAAATTATGAGACGGTCTGACTCCCTAAAGCAGGGGTCCCCAACCCCTGGTCCACAGCCTGGTGCCGGTCCGTGGCCTTGGGTGGACTGGGCCGTGGAGACAGATCTCCCGCCGCCCCTGCATGCCCACCCGCACAACTCCTTCACTTATGTTCAAGAACGTGCACATGCGCCCTGTGACTGCCCCCACCCCTTCGCGCACACGTGCGAGTGTGTGCCCCCCGCCCCTTTGTGCATGTGCACGAGTGTGTGAACATGCCATGTGAGCGCCCCTACACCTTCGTGCACGCGTGCGAGTGCCCATGTGAGCGAGTGCTGCCGCTTCGTGCCCCCCCCATGCACAGACCCTGCCCCTCCAACTGGTCTGCGGTGTCAAAAAGGTTGGGGACCACTGCCCTAAAGGATGTCACAGGGTTGAGTTTGCAAGAGCTGAGCAGGGCAGCTTAGGACGGGACATTTTGGAGATGGCTCATTCATAGAATTGTCATCAAGAAGTGACTTGATGGCACATAATAGCAAAAACAAACAACCACTTTCCTTTATGAGGCTTGCATCTTGATCCTAAACATATTTTCCCAGAATGAAGTTCTTGTGAATTCAGGGACTTGCAGTTACATTTGCTTTTAGGATTCTGGACTTCCTTGGAATTAGATTTTGTTAATGTCAGTGGAAGTCCCTTAAGAGCCAATGTATCTCTGATTCGGTCACTGATGAGTCAGTCTGAAATGTACATGTAAGAGCAATTAAAGAGAGGGCTAGGACAGTAAGATCTTCCCAACCCAAAAGATACCCAAGCAAGAAATCAGTCTCTAGAAAGGAAAGCTAGGTTATGTTTCAGGGGGCAAAAAGATATTGTGGTATCTTAAAAACTATCAGATTTTACTATAGCTTAAATTTTCTTTGCCCATGTCATCCAATACATGAAATATCTCATTTGGCAGATTATTATTAAAACAGATTATGTGTTTTAAGGATGGGTGAGTGTGATTGAAATTAGTGGGGCAGGAGAGAATTGAAATGCAGAAGTAGAAAAATCAATATGTAACAGTATACATTAATAAAACAATATTTATTAAGGCCTTCGCCATAAATGACCAGGGTTAACATACTGTAGCCAGTTTAATAGGTATCCTGCCTTCTATATGAATATACAGATCTAATATTCAAGGAAAGAAAATGACAATTTGCCATCACAAAAAGCAAATTGTACAATTGTTGTGAAATCCTGCCTCAGAAAGTAGAGTCTAAGCTCTTGTAAAAAAAAAACTGTCATCACCCGCGGTCAGTTGTAAAATAATAATACCACAGAGAAAACAGTTAAAAACCACATTGGTATTATGTTGTGAGGCCTTTCCCCAATCTTTAACCTTAATCTGCCTTTTCAATTAAAATGTACCACATATATTGAGAACTTCCAAGAATAAACTATAAGAATTTTATATTTATTATTCATAAGTTTAAAAGATCTGATTGCTCTGGCAGACCTTAATGTCAGGCATATGACTTGGATTCAGCTAGTAGAAAAGTAGTGCTTAGTGTATAAGTGCTTGAATGAACGAGAAGACCAGCTTCAGTGCAAAGCAGTGCAGAAATGCCTTAAGGCAGAAGAACTTAGAATAAAACTTCAGCAACTAGATAAACTTCAAAGAGATCAAATGACTTACAGCCCATGTTTTAGCATCCTATAAACATTGAGCAACTGTTTCCCCACAAATTCAAAGCAAAAAGTGTGCTGCTTATACACTGCCCCATAGTGCTTCAAGCACTCTCTGGGCGGTTTACAAGTTAATTATGCAGGCTACACATTGCCGCCCCCCCCCCAAGCGAGCTGGGTACTCATTTTACCGACCTCGGAAGGATAGAAGGCTGAGTCAACCTCGAGCCAGCTACTTGGGATTGAACCCCGGGGCATGAGCACCGTTTTGGCTGCAGTACAGCCATCTGACCACTGCGCCACAAGACTCTTTTTAAAGTTTTTCAAGGTTACAGACTGGC